CCTCTCTCCCCTTCTCCCTCTCTCCCTCCCTTCCTTCCTCTCTTTTTTGTTCTGTTCTTTTCCCCAGGGTCTCAATGTGCAGTTTTGGCTGTCCTGGAATCTGCTATGTAGACCAGGCGTGCCTGAACTTATTACAGAGATCCACCTGTCTCTCTGCCTTCTGAGTGCTAGAAGTTTAATTTAAGTATATTTAAAAATAAAGCTATAGATTATTTTATAAGTTTATGTTTTATATTAAATGCAAAGCTCATGATGACTTCGTTTTAATCGTTATTTTTCTTTCCTGTTTGATTCTTTAGATCAAAAGGTCCCTTTAGCAAAGTTCGAACAGGTCCTGGAAGGGGTCGGAAACGTAAAATAACTGTCTCCAGCCAGTCTGCGTCATCTTCAGAAGAAGGCTATTTAGAGCGGATAGATGGCTTGGACTTCTGCAGAGATAGCAATGCCCCCTTGAAGTTCAACAAGAAAACCAAAGGGCTCATTGATGGCCTTACCAAATTCTTCACGCCTTCTCCTGATGGGCGGAAAGCCCGAGGGGAGGTGGTAGACTACTCTGAGCAATACAGAATCAGGAAAAAGGGCAACAGAAAATCAAGTACTTCAGATTGGCCCACAGGTAAAAGTTTGAACCAAGTTTAGAAACAAACATATTCCAAAGTGTATTATTTGCATTGACACTAGTCATATAAAATAGTTCATATTTCATTGTAAAAATTATGAACAAGCCCAATGGCACAGACTTGTAATCGTAATATTGGAGAGTCTGAGGCAGGAGGACCACATGTTCAAGACCAGCCTGGAATACATAGTGAGACTGTATCAAAACAAAAATTGGTATAGAAGAATGTATGAACGGTCTATATTCACCTGTGCTGCTATGTCAGGAATTAGAGCTGGGCTGAAACTGCAGATGGAAATTAGAAAGAGCAGACATGGTTATATTGCTGTTCATTGAAGTATACAGAAAAGTCTAAAATATATGCAGGATGATATGCTTTTGTCTTCAGATCTTGGAGATGGATTTGTAAGTTTTCATATATTAAGCAGCGAGAGAAAGGGCTTCCTATATAGTTCCAGCCTGATAGCCTATGTTTAGACTGATTTCCAGCCTTTCAAAATAGGAGCTACCTATAGTATGGTAGATAATTCAAGTCAGTTTAGACTGATCTTCAACCTTTCAAAATAGAGCTACCTACCAATGGTAGGTAATTCAAGTCAGAGACTTAAGGCCTTAAACAGTCTCTTTTGTAAGGTTTGAGTTAAGACAAAATAGTCATGTCATGGAGTTAAAAGGATTCTGAGAAAATTTGAAAAATAAGAACAAACTGGATCACGGAGACCAAAGTTTCAGGGTCTTACTACAGGAAAGAGTTTTTGTGGTGGTTGTTGTTGTTGTTGTCTTATTTATTTTTTATTTCATGGGAGTCAAATTTGTTGTTTAAAACAATGAAGTTATGAATACAGATTTTAACATTTTTTAAAATTATTCTTCTCTCATGTAATATATCCTGACATCATATATCCCCTACCCTCCAATAGTTTTGTTTTGTTTTGTTTTTAAGTTTTAAAGTCTTACCTACTGCAAGAGAATTTATTTTTGGTTTTCCCCTCTCAGATGTCCCATGAACAAGTGCTTGTATTACCTGCGTCTTCACTCCTGCATATGTGAATGGTGTTGACTGAGCTGGGGAGGAGGTCCTCATCCCTCTCTGAGCCTCTGTTTTGTAACTTACTGACTTGGCTCTCATTAGAGTGCTAGTCATTTACTGTTCACATCAAGACTTTCCATGTTAGATTATGGATGAGCTTCAGTTGGAGCATGGTTATTCAGAAAGATGCACGGTCCATTTATATTAGACTTTCAAAAGGACTTCTAAAATTTTCATTGGAATGGAATTCATAGAAAATGGATTATTGAAAGAATTTCCTGGAAACTTAGAACTAGAAGCTGTTGTAGCAAATGTATAGAAATATGTAGAGAACTAACATTAAACTTTAATCATTGGTGCATTTTACTTTAATAGGCTCTATGATTTTATTTATGCGTTGTAAATATTAAGAACCAGTTTGTACGTCATTTTATACAGTTTCACGGAATGCAGTACTAAGTCTGCCTGCATCTATCTGTTTCGTGCACTAGGGGGCATTGCAACTACTTGGTTACGTTAGACTTGTACTGTCTTTTCAGTTGAGAATGTTGTCATCCTTGAGTTTTTGTCTTCTTTTTCCTCTTGTACTAAATGAATCACAGAGCCAGTCTCTGCAGTCAATTTGAAAAGAACTGTCACTGATTGGTCTTTTCAGCCAGACTCAAAGAGGAGGTCACCAGCAGTGTCATCTTCAGATGCAAAGGATAATGATCTACATAACCCCCATACTCCCTTCACTAATTATTTTGCCCAGTTGAGGAAGAGCCATCATTTAGTGGATGATTATCATAATTTTTCATACTTACCCAGAGGATTATCATCTGTGGTCCTCAGGTTTGTGGAGTTTGTGCTTTGACAGGGCACCCAGATTGTGAAGGGAGTTAGTATTTCCCGGTATCAGTTAACATAACTCTTTTGAAGTCTATATGGTGATTGTTGACACATTAAATTCATGCTAAAAGTGTCAATAGTCACACTTTCAAAATAACATTTCTGCTCTTTAGACCCTTTTCTTGTTCTGCTGTTGAAATTAATCTTTTAATGAATTTAAATTCATTGGTTATATCATATCTTTAGGAAAATTTAAGACAATTTGGGTTTTTTACCAGAAGGACAGATTCTTAATACTTGAGTAATATTTCTGAGAGTCAATTTAATGCTGTCCTTTTCTTGGGTAGAACATAAGTAATGTTAAGGTCTCCAGACTGAAAGTTTTATTAAATTGAAGATAGTACAAATAACACGTGAGTCCTTTCTTTATGTGTAGACAATCAGGATGGCTGGGAAAACAAACAAGAAAACGAGGAGCGGCTTTTTGGGAGCCAAGAAATCATGACGGAAAGAGATATGGAGTTATTTCGTGATATCCAAGAACAAGCACTGCAGGTAAAATTGCATATTCAGGCTAAGTAGTCAAGGAACTGTAAAGGATAGCAAACAGAACTGAGTATATGGTGGGTAAGAAAGAGTGCAGCTTACTCTGAGACAGATGTGCTTGTGCAGAGGTATAGCTCTCCCTGTTACAGAATTCCTTTCCAGCTGCAGCTGCTTATATTTTGCCAAGAAGTACATTGCTTTGGTTATCAATATTAAGAGAGTATACCATATTTCCTTACTGTATTAAGTAAAATTGGTTATTTTACTGTTATTGGTTATGTGTATGAGCATTTTGCCTGCATGTAAATCTGTGTACCATTTGCTTGTTTCCTCGAACTGGAGTTACCGAAAACTGTAAGCTACCATGTAGGTGCTGGAAATCAAACCCAGGTCCTCTGCTGCTGAGCTAACTCTCTAGCCCTTGCAGAAAAGATTTATTTCTAGTCATTTCATGGTCGTTTGTTGTGTGGGTAAAAACTCTTTAGGTTAAAAAAATAGTACATCGTGGTGCACATGACATGGAGGTCAAGAAGAGAGAATGGCAGGAACATAGGTCCTAGTATGGGTCGTTAAAGGTGTGCCCAGTGACCCAACTTCCTTCTTCTAAGCCTCATGTGTTAAGGGTTCTTTCATCTCCAGTAGTTTCATAAGCTGGCTTTGGGGAAACATTAAGAGCCAAACTGTAACAGTGTTCACGTCTGTACATTTGCATACACAAACAGGTCTCATTCTTGGTTCCTTTGCTTTCTTGCCTATGTATCACGTTAGAGCCATTGGCAGATTCAGAGTGTATCCAGGATATGACTGCTCTTAATGCTTCAGAGCCACCCTCATTTGTCTTTGGGTAGTACCATAGTCTCCAGACTGTGCCTGGCCTTCACTCTTCCCTTGCTGCCTTGCCTCAGTCTCTAGTCTTGTCCTTTACACAGAGTAACTTACTTTGTGACCTAAGTGGATTGTGCCAACTTTCTGCTCAGAATACCTCCAGTGTCTTAGCCCTACTTAGAATTTTTAACAAACCAGCATATCTGTCCTTATCTTCAAGGTTTAGGTGCTCTTGTACAAACTCCCCTTGCCTTCCACCCTTGCCCAGTGTTCCCCAGTCCCAGTGTTCCACCTTCTTTCCTCAGACACACCAAGCACCGTCTTACCGTAGCACATGGTACTCTCATGTCCACATGCCTCCTTGACTCACTGTTTGCTTCCTCAAGGTCACAAGGGGAAAACTGCTAGCCGCCTTCTGTGCCACCACCCCTTTCCTGCTGTGTTCCTACAAAGTGCTCATCCTCCCTTGAATTTCTTTTGTTTATTTTGAGACAGGGTCTCACCGTGTATCCTTGGCTAGCTTGGAGCTTACTGTGTAGACCAGCCTGGCCTTGAATTCAAAGCCCTCCTGAGTCTTCTAAGTTCTGGGATAAAAGACTTGTACTAGCATACCCAGTTTGAATGTATTCATTTCTAGGATTTAAGTGCCTTAGGAGCAGACAGTTTGTCTTTACTTACTGCTATAAACTGAGTAGTTTGCCTGAAGTCAAGGCTTTGTTTACTGGCTGGGCATTTCTGCTGGAGAAATAGAATTAGAATAGGTGTAATGGGCATATGAAGAAAATAATGACTGAGAGGTACAGGGGCTGCTGAGCTCCAGGACAAAACATAATAGCAATATGGCCAGTAGTATGTGTGCGTCTCCAGGGGAATAGGTGAACCTCTACAAGAACATAGTCCAATAGACTATGTGTATGTGTACGTGTGTGTGTGCTCGTGTGCACCACAAAGGGATTTAGTATATGAACTTACACAGTAAGAGTTAGATTGATCAATAGTGGTCGTGTTGTTTTAGTTAAGGTTTTACTGCTGAGAACAGACACCATGACTAAGACAACTCTTCTAAGGACAACATTTAACTGGGGCTGGCTTACAGTTCAGAGATTCAGTCTATTATCATCAAGGCAGAAACATGTCAGTGTCTAGGCAGACATGGCGCAGGAGTTGCTGAGAGTTCTTCATCTTCATCTGAAGGCTGCTAGCAGAATACTGGCTTCCAGGCAGCTAGGAGTCTTATAGCCCATGCCCACAGTGACATACCTTCTAATCATGCCACTCGCTAGGCCTAGCATAGACAATCCATCACACACGTGCAGGCTGGTGGCTGTTCACTCCGTAAATCTGGATGCTTCCGCAGTCCAAGTCTGGTGTTCAAGGTCTAGAAGATTTCTATTGCTTCATAGGCAGCCTGTATTAGAAAAGTAAAGAACCTGGAGTTTGCTGTCAGGGGAGGACTATAGCAGCCATCACCTTGATGAGCCTCATGTTTAGGAAGAAGCAAAGGCAGACAACACCACTTTTTTTTTCTGGCTTTATATTGAGGCCACCTATTGGGAGGTTTCATGCAGTCTGAATGTGGGGTCTTCCCCTTGAGTTAAACTTGTCTGGAAATGTTTAGTAGGCACACCCAGAGACATGTGTCTGATGAGTCCAGATCCTGTCAGGTTGGTAATCAAGGCTAACTGTCACACCCAGCACTTCACTGTTTTAGTCATTCAGTGTACAACACAGCAAGCAGACATGAGGATGGATCTGAAGACTGCTGGAGACCCAAGTAAAGGAGCACCCTACAGCAGTTTAGTAAGGTCATATCTTGTGTGAAGGACATAAACACCTAGATAGTGTATGTCTAAATCATTAGCATATGAAGTGGAAATGATCAGAAATTCTGGTTTAGTCATCTTTTTCCATGAGATCGATTTATTTAGAATGTATGTGTATGGCTTTGTATTGAACATACAGGTAAAGATACAGACTCAGGAGCTTTCAGTCTCATTAGAGACACAAATGGCAAATAATCATAAGCACAAAATTCAAATCGCTACTAGAAAGAAGGAAAGAATATACTAGGAGATTGTAATAGGGCTTCCTCGTCTGTATTGCGTGGCTGTGTTCAGCAGATATGTAGAAAGGAGGATGTTTTCAAAGTAATGCTCTCTAGACTGACAAGAGAGTCAGCAAGACTGTGAGGAGAGTGACACAGGGACCTGCCTGGTAAATGGCAGGGTCAGAGGAGTAAAGTGAGGAGCTAAGATCAGTCTGACTAGGGGGTGAACAAGGACCACACAGGTGAGACTGGAGAAACAGGCCACGAGTTGGGATGGGGTTTTTCAGTCACTGTTTTGGGAAGCCCTCAAATGAAATAGCAAGATTATACTCTCATTGAGGTTGGTTTTCTTAGGCTGAATGTTTCCCTCAGTTGGTAAGAGTGCTTACCTAGAATGCACAAAGTCCTAGAGTTTCATCGCATGTGAGACAGATAGTGATGGCACACACCTGTAATCTCAGTACACAGGAGGTGGACAGAGGATCAGAAAACTTTTGGACGATCTTGTGGGAATTCAGTAGTTGATAGGGCAAGATGCAAGTGAGTAAGTGTGTGTGCATAGTTGCTTCCTCATGGAGAGCCTTGTTGACTTTAAACCTGAGTGAGTGGAAAATCCTTCCTCTAAAGGCTACACAGGGGAATTGGGGTGGGGTGGGGTGGGGGTGGAGTGCATCTGTGCATGAGCGCATGTACCAGAGCACTGCACAGCACCACAGGTAAAGGTGTGTGTGGGCAGAGGGTCGGTCTGCCTCTTCCCTGTGGTGATGTGTAAACAGTTATACTGGAACTGGATCTCCACACTCTCATCGGGTATCCGACTGGAGGAGCACTGGGGGGCCGATGGGAGGACTCTCCCATGGCAGACTGCATCACAACAGGTGCACATTCTAGCTTTTCTACTTCCTATTTAATCCAGACTTGGTAGTTTTAGGTTTGAGTATTTGGTTATTCTATTTTCCTGAGTGACCAGTATTACTGTGAGGTGCAAAGACGGAGGAAAAGATCTTTCTTTATAGATTAGAATACTTATAGTCTTTGCTGTGAGGTGCAAAGACGGAGGAAAAGATTTCCCTTTGTTGAGTAGAATACTTAGAGTCTAGAATGCAGCTACAGAGCAGCTTTTTAAAACCTTTCAACAAGATTGCATTTTAATCGTTTTCAGTGTGCTTCTGTACTGTTTTTAGTGGTTGGAAGAGTCCTGGAACTCCTGGTGATACAGTGAATTTTATCTAGAAGATAATCATCTTTTGTTTTAAGGTGTCTCAGGAAGAGCTTGGTCTCACTTGGCTATATTCCAGTGTGAAACCTGAGATGAGTCCCTTGGCCTTTGAGGAAAGGGAATGATTAGGGAAGGGGAGGGAGGGGACTGCCAGTCAGGTGTGGTGATGAGGTTAATTTCTTATTAATAAATTTCAACAAACCTTAGAATGTGAGTCTTTAGCTTTTTAGTTTTGTTGTATGTGTATGTATGTATGGGCTCCAAAGAGGGGACTTTTAATCTCTCAGTGGTTGTAAAAAAACATAACGTTGAAAAATAATTTTGATGTTTTTTTGATGAGGAGTTACTAATACTTCTGTCTGGTCAGTCTAAATTGTGGTTTTGCCATCTTTTTTAGGTGAGTTGATATTTATAAAATGCCCATGATCAACGTATACACATCTATATGAATTTGTTGCTTAGTTGTATGCAGAGTAAATGAGATGGCTTTGAATTTAATGTTTTAGACCTGACTTTTAGAAGCAGCTTGCATTTGAACCTTTGGTGTAGAAAACAAGTCATGAAGGCTATAAGCACCACGTCTTTCTTGACAATGCACTTTAGTTATTACAGGAGTGAGACGAACATGGAGACCATTTCCATTTATAAATAGTAGGAAAGGATTGGCCTGTGTAAAAAAAAAAATGTGAATTTGTTCACTCAAACTGTACAGCAACTAATGACAAAAATCACACGTGGTGCAAATTGAAGACCTTTTGGGTACTTGCTTTGTCATATTCTTTTTATATTACTTTCCCAAGTCAAAAAATGTTTGTTTTCTGTGGTGCTTACATGATCAATACAGGGCATTTATTTTGTCTGTTGCTAGCTAGCAGGAGTATTCAACCCCCTGCTCTCTTAACCCAGCAGTTTATTTTTAAAAAGTCATTAAAGACATAAACTTAGTTGAGAAAAATGTCCAGTTTACAAACAGAAAACTCAGTGATACCAACTACATACGATTTAAGAGGTTTGCTAGCACTTGATTTATGTGAGCCTGCTGTTTAATTGGACACTTACTTTAAGATTTGTTAGCTTGTGCTTGACTTTCATTGTTCTCTTAGAGGTCCAGAAAGACAATGTTTAGATTAATATTAGTAATGTTTTGTTATTGTTGTTACATTAGTCTATTTAAGTTAGCTAACTTGTGTGTAATATTTTTCTTGACTGCACAGAAAGTCGGAGTAACTGGGCCCCCTGATCCACAAGTTCGCTGTCCCTCTGTCATTGAGTTTGGGAAGTATGAAATCCACACCTGGTATTCCTCTCCATATCCTCAAGAATACTCAAGGTATGTTTTGATCTCTTAAGACTTTAGAACTAGAAGATGTCTGGCAGTGTTTCATCCAGTTCATCTTTTTACTTGAAAAAGCTTTTACATGTGCAAGATAGCAGTGTGCTTTAACAGCTGCTTCTCCAGCCCTTGTTAGATGTCCATGTCTGATACTCATCCAAAGCTGGTTTTAAAACTATAAACCACATTAAATTGACTGACTAATACTCTGTGATATTATCTTTAAGGTAGTATCATGAGTAACAACTCTTAAGTTGAATTTATTAAGAAAAGATTATATTCAGGTATGATCCATTTGTGTGTGTGCGTGTGTGTGTGTGTGTGTGTGTGTGTGTATTTGTATGTGTTATATGTGCATGTAAAAGGAAGGCAAGAAATTCAGCAAATCCTATAGTACCCTGCTACTTGGTAATTTATTCCTTTGGAGTTTTGAATAGCTGTGATATTCTATGATCAGAAAGAAATAAATGTTACTGTTTTTAAATTTTTTATTAATATTTATATGTGTGTCTGTATGCCACACCACAGTGTAGGAATCAGTGGACAAACCATGGGAATCCATCTCCTCCTTCCATCATGTGGGCCCTCGCCATGACGCTCAGGATTCTTTTCCCTACTAAGAAGCCATCTACTGGCTCCTGTCACCACCACTTTCAAGCTGGGTCTTATCACAAGCATTGATCTGTCAGCTCCAGAGAGTGTAGTGCAGATAAATGGAAGCCACATGCACTGTGACTCTTCTACTCAAGAGAGGGCTAGCTGCAGAGAGCCAGGTTCCAGGCTTGCAAAAGGTGATGAGAACGTGGTTATGGACTTTCGTCTTATAAGACATTGAAAGTATGCATGGAATTTTCCCCATGTATTCTGATAAAATTGCTACTAGAACTGTTAGTGAGGGGAGCTGGTTCAATGAAGGAGTAAATACTGCCAGCAGAAAAGAACTCAAAAAGGCAGAAAGAGACAGGGTAGGAACTGTATATCATCTTCCTTACAGCAACTCCTAGACATTTCCTGTATATTTCCTTATTCGTTGTGATTTCTTTAGTTCTCCATGAGAAATATCCAGCAGTTTAATAGTGTCTTTAGTAGTTACAGGTGTTTTCTGTCCTTGTTTTTATTCTTACAACTATATTTTTAAAAACTAAATATATCTGTTCAGTCGAGTTCTGTGGATTTACTTCTGAGTTCTTTTCAATTTGAGTTGAGTAAAACACCTAGAAATCTTAAGCTTTTTCAACATGTGTTTGTGGTATATGTGCCTTTGTGTATGTATGTTCACATGTGTGTGGGCGCACATGCACCGTGTGCACATGTATATAGAGACCCAAGGTTGACGTAGAGAATCTACATACAGTCTGTAATGAATTCACTTCACCCTTGGGAGACAGGTCTTCTCAAACAAACCCAGCTCCCTTATCCATCTGGCTCAGGGATCCCCTGCCACAAGCTAGCTGAAGTAACAGGTGGCCTGCTAGTCCCACCAGGCAGCTCTGCGTTCTGAACCTGAGCTCTGTCCTGGTCTCCCATGGCAAGTGCTCTCCCTTCCCAGTGCTCTCCAGAGATCATAGCTTTTTCACATAAGAAACTTCCATTCTTCATAAAGTTAGTTGGTGGTCTCTTCTTACTGTTTTATACTAGATTGCTTCTAGATTAATTTCTTGCTAAACACCTTTAAAACAAATTCCAAGTCTCAAAGCATACAAAAACTCTGAAGCAAACAAAAAAGAAAGGATCCAGAAAGAAAAGGTTTAGGAGGGGCAATAGGATTGTGTTTTAGGGTGTTCTGCATACAATCTAAGTAATTATATATGCCTAGTGTATTAGGTAATCTTTCCTTGGTTCACACAAATAGGTAAACCAAAGTAAAGCAACACCAGGGAAGCTATACTATATAACACAGATGGGCCCCAGTAAAGAAGTCAACATCATGGGCAGCCTCCATTCAAACTACTCAGAGATTAGCTTCAGAATGCCCTCTTTGCTGTGACGTCATTTCGAGGTCTTAGTAAGGTTGATTCCCATGTAGTAAAGTTGCTTAGGAAGTTCTTTCCTTTAACTCTCTTCCTGTCTTAGTTTGAATAGACTGAGAGTACTGCTGGAACCAGGTTTGCATGGTCTCCGTTACTCAAGAGGAAACTAAACAGTTTTTAGTGCTTTAGCTGTTTAGGGATGAAGTAAAATGGAAGAAAAGAAAGTAAAAATTACTGCTATAAATTATAGCCTGGATAGCTGTCACCTGTGGAGCTTTATAACCAACTAAGTGTATCTGGACTAACTGTGAAGTGAGAATTTCTATCTCCCATTTGCAGACCTGGTCAGCAAGTATATTCAGGACAATACAGCTTATATTGTGAGCCTGGTGCACTTTCTGTCTGAAGCATACAGCCATATTACATATTACATGTAGCATTTGTAACTTCACTTATGCCTCATTTAAGGGAGACCTGATAGGATGGATATGTCTCTGGCCTTTCCATCCTCTTCACTTTTTGTTTTATAGACAAAGGTTTTGCTAAGTTGTGATGTTTCTGCTTGGCTTCTTTTAATAAATTTAAGAAGGATGGGGGAGTGTGTGTGCATGTGCATGTTTGTGCACGCTTGTCTGTCCATGTGAGTATTTGTGCGCGTGTGCATGTGTATACATGTGTGTGCTATGGCACAGATGTGGAGATCAGGAAACAATTTTTTGGTCTTGTCTTCCACCTTGTTGAAGCAAGGTATCTTGTTTCTGCTGCTGCCTCTGTATTTCAGGCTAGCTGACCCAAAAGTTCCTGGGCAGTGAGTTCTTCTGTCTCGCTGTAGGCGTGCTGGGGTGACTGGTTACAAGTATAGACCACGACATCCTGATTGTTTTAACTTGTTCTTTGTTTTGTTTTGTTTTATTTTTCTGTCCTTTTTGTGATTTTTTCTTTTTTGTCTTTGTTTTTTGTTTGTTTGTTTGCTTGTTTGTTTGTTTGTTTGTTTGAAACAGGGTCCTGATATGTAAACTTGCCTGGCCTGGAACTTAGAGATCTGTCTGCCTCTGCCTCCCAAGTGCTGGGATTAAAGTTGTGCACCGCCACACCTAGATTTTGTCCTTTTATTTTTATTTTTACCAATAGGAACATAACCCAGGGTGGCTTTGCACTTGTGAGTGCTCTACCACTGAGCTAAATATCCAGCACCATTCCTCTGTAGCACCAAGACCATCTCAAGTCATCAGGATTGCACACCTGTCTCGCCAGCCCAGCAGGATCGTTTTTTTGTTTTTGTTTTGTTTTGTTTTGCTTTGTTTTGTTTTTTTAGTCAGGGTCTCACTATGTAGCCCTTGCTGGCCTTGAACTCACAGAGATCTGCCTACCTCTGTCTCTGGAGTGCTTGGATTAAACAAACACCACCATGCCCTGCCCAAAATAATAAACTTTTGACTAATAGGGTTCCTTCATACAGTGTTACTTGGTTTTGTTGTTGTTGTTTAAACTAGGGAAGGATGGAAACAGAACTTTAGGGGCAGAAAGGATGTATATAGTCTAGTTTAACTTCCCCAAACATACTCATTGTTAAAATTTCATACTTAAAAGCATTTACAAAGTATGGTTTTACAATATACACTTGATGTCCATTTTGCCTAGCACTGCATATACACGTATAGGTCTCTAGCACAGTCTGACACCTGGTAAGTATTCAACAGCTTATTTCCTGAAATCAAGACATGAATAAAGAAATAAGAAAGGAATCGTGAATCTATAGCCTGCTTATTGGAGATTCTCCAGGGGGTAACAATGTGGGATTTTTCAGGTCTGTTGATTGTCTTAAAAAGACAGGGAGGTTTTAGTTTAATAGGAAAACTGAGCTAGTTAGCTTGATTTCTCACTTCTGCCCTTCTGATGCTATTTAGTTGGTGGCCGCTATCTAAAGTGGTGTCCCCATCTTACTTCCTTAGAAAAAAATGCTACACTCCTACCACGTTTTTAAAGTGAATTATTTTTATTTTGGGGGTGGTGCACATAGAAGTTAGAGGACAACTTGGGGAGTCATTCCTCTCCACTCACCATGTCTGTTTGGGGAGTCAAGCGTAGCAACAGGTGCCTCTAACCACTGAACTATGTTCCCAGCCCTTGTTCTTCCCACTCTTTAACATGGGTGGGAATGAGACACAGAAAAGTTAAGAGTCGTGAGGATTTAAAGATTTATAAATATAAAGCCCTATTTTAATTATCATTTGCAGGCTGCCTAAATTGTATCTTTGTGAGTTCTGTCTAAAATATATGAAAAGTAGAACTATTCTACAGCAGCACATGAAGAAATGTGGTTGGTTCCATCCTCCTGCCAATGAGATTTACCGAAAGAATAATATTTCTGTCTTTGAGGTAAGGTAGCTGTCTAGTACCTGTCTTCCTGACCATTTCAACCCCAGTGCTCTCTGTGCTCCATTTGTTGTTCACTCACTGCCAAGTCAGATAACTCATGGGTATGAGGCGCAGACTTAGTACCGTCCACGTGAGACCCGAGTCCATTCGCTTGAATTTACAATAAATACTCTAATTTCATTGACTCAAAACATCAGTCATAATATATCTTACTATGTTTTTATATCACTACAAGGGAAAAATACTGCTAATTAAAATGTTTAAGATCCCACTTGACAAAATGCCAGCCAGTTTTTACGTTATGTAAGGATGTGATAAAAATAGATCTCAGAATCTCTGAAATAGAGCACTTAGAAAGGATGTGTAAACCAGGGAGATTGGCTTACATCTATAATCTCAGAAGGCCAAGGCAGGAGGATTGCCATGAAGTTGAGGCCAGCCTAGGCTACACAGTGAGTTCCAGGCCAACCTGAGTTACAATCTCGGGGGAAAAAAACCAAAACCAAAACAACAGTAATAAGTATGTTTCTATTATTCAAAAACAATATCTTCTAAAAGTATGTTTAGTATCATTAGTAAATCCTAATAGGATGACCTAGTGATGACCTGTGTTCCACGAGTCTGTGAGTCTGTGTTATCATTAACAGTGGTCTTTAACTTTTTCATCCACAGTTGTATGGTTTGCATGCCAAATATTGAGTACATGTATGTTGGGTCCTGTTTTTTAGTGTAGCGATAGGTTTTCAGAGCATCTGGATCCCCTCAGTCTCCTTTACTGGATGGCGAGTTAGTTCTTCAGTAGAAGGGAGCACTTTACTTAGGAGTTAGAAATGTCGGGTGAATTATACAGTATTGTTGGAGAGTGCTCAACAGCAAATTGCTTCTTGACCTTCCCATATATCAGGAGGTATGTGTGCTATAGATTTGGGGATCATCAGGAGTGCAGTTTATGTGGCAGTATTATGGGATAGCTCGTATGGGGACCCATCAGCATTTTCATAAGAGCAAACTTCAGCTCAAGACACAAATGTCAGGATGGACAAAGTGCCGTGCTCCTGATCTTGGCCACCTTGAGTCTCCCTTGCCAGGTGCTTACCTAAGACACTGCCTGGCACTCATGAGCGGCAGTAATTAACACTCTCTGTAATTGTGGCTGTGTCTGTGCCTGATCATGGTAGGCAGAGAGTACTCTGTCAGGCTGCTTCTGGGATATCAGTCTTAACATATTTTACCTAATAAGTAAATTTCAGAAGAGATTACACTTAGGTACCTTGCTTGTTAAATGAAATGCTTTGGAAAATGAAGCTTGGCAACTGAAGTTAGGAAACCAGAATAGCCATTTCAAATGTAGGTTCTCACCTCCCTCTTTATCTACTCAGGACGTTTAGGATCTTATAAGATGCATTTGGTCATCTTAGAACAGCAAGTACTATCATACTGCCATTTCAGAAGATAGTCTCTAGGCCGTGTGTCCTGGTCACTGACGACATTTCCTAGGCTAGACTAAGAAGGTACCTACTAGTGATGTGCATAGCTGATATGTATGGCTCCAGAACCAAAGAACATTTTCCTGACCATTTTTTGTCTTGTTTGTTTTTTCCTTTAGGTTGATGGGAACGTGAGTACCATTTATTGTCAAAATCTGTGTCTCTTGGCAAAGTTGTTTCTTGACCACAAAACACTCTATTATGACGTGGAGCCATTTCTTTTCTATGTTCTAACACAGAATGATGTCAAGGGCTGCCACCTTGTTGGCTACTTTTCTAAAGTAAGTATGTCAGCTTAAAATTATTTGAATTCGTGTGCAAATCTGGGACAATCTACTAATTCTCAGGAGGGGGTACAACAACATGTAAAACCTTGTAGATACGTTTTAGTTTTTTCAGAAAGGAAATAGAAGGAATATTCAGAAACTTAACAACTGCTAGAAGATGCCTAGTAACAGTCAACAGACTACTCACTAGGGGAAAGGACTGTGGCAATCCTCAAGAGGAAGCTTGAAAACCACCTCTAGTCCCAGGGTGGTTAACAGGCAGAGCCTGGAGATGATAAACACTGCCATCGCCCCTCACTTCTTCATCAACAGAAACACTCTTGAGCTGGAGTTTTAGGGACAGAAGTGTAATTTCTAGTCAAAATGTCTGACAGTTGTACATAAAGCAAGTCTTTGGTAAAAGTTTTAAGTGTACAAAACAGATCGTTGGAAAGGCTTAGCTTTTTAAGAGGTCTTTTGGGCTACTTTCCTAGTTAAATAGGATTGAAAACATATCAACTATTTTATGAAAAGGTATTTGTGCTCCACATTTAGTAATATTTTGTGTAGAGTTAGGCAATATAATCCATGTAACTTGCCCTTTATAGCAATGCAGAAGCTGCCTACAACGTTGTATTGGCATGGGGCTGTCAACCACGGGAGCTCAGATGCCTTTGCTGACCGTGGGCATCAGTATTTGGTTTTTAGTGGCAAGTAGTTTTAGATGGAATCCTTGTGTTTTATGCTACTACCTTCCTGGGGTGGTTGTTTTGCATCTGTGGTGGTGATGAGCATTGTCCTACCTTTTCCCAGTGGCCTTGTCTTGATGTGCATTGCTCTTCCCAAAGGACCATGACTGTGTTTGGCTGAGAGTATTTGTTTATTAATGATTAGCACTGCTATTCGGCTTTACCAGTCTATTGTTCTAAAACTTGGCTTCTATGTTCTCCACTAGGAAAAGCACTGCCAACAGAAATACAATGTCTCCTGTATAATGATTCTTCCCCAATACCAACGTAAGGGCTACGGCAGGTTTCTCATCGATTTCAGTAAGGATTGTATTAACATACTTTCTCATTCCTCTGGTGGAATTTTTAGATGTGTATATTTAAAGATTTGTGGATTTCTTGTATTTTCTTTGTCCCCCGCCCCCTCTTTAAATTTATCATGTCCCACAGTACGCATGTGGAACTCAAGAACAACTTGAAGGAGTCAGTTTCTCCCTCTATCTGTGTGCCTGGATAGTGAACTCAGGTCATGAGCTTGGCAGCAAGCGTCTTTACCTGAGCTCTCTCTCCATTTCTCACCTCATTGTTGTATTAGCTTCTTAAACTTAAAGCCATGCTCAGTTTTCTCTTGGCTTCGCACAAAATGTCTTTTAATAACTAATACCAAATACAGTTTTATGAGGGCCAGCAAGATGGCTCAGTGGGTCAAGGAACTTGCTACCAAGCCAAATGACTTGAGCTTGATCCCTGTAACTCACATGCTGTAAGAAGAGAACCACCCTCTAGAAGTTGCCCTCTGATTGGCACATGCATGCTATGGCACGTGCACACACCTTACACACACATTTTACACACACACTTTACACACACACACATTACAGTAGTAAGTGTCTTTAATGTGCACTGCTGATTTCTGGTAGAACTTAGTTATGTGCAGTGATGCTGATTGCCAGCACATCGGGAATGCTGAGTACTGCTTAGTGATGTCCATAGAGAAGAGCAGCATTACCTGTTTGTGTTATCCCATGATCTGAGTAAATGTGTGTACTTAGTTACAGTGCTACTTACTTTTCAAAAAAATAGCACAGCTTTAAAGTGCCCTAAAAAATAGATATTACAGGAAATGATTTCATCTGAGTTAGAAAGTGAAAGCTTACAGTTCTAGAGAGGAAATGGTTAGACATACATCTGTAGTGACTGTCTTAGTCAGGGTTTTACTGCTGTGAACAGACACCAAGACCAAGGCAACTTTTATAAGGACAACAGTTAATCGGGGCTGCCTTACAGGTTCAGAGGTTCAGTCCATTATCATCAAGGCAGGAGCATGGCAACATCCAGGCAGGCATGGTGCAGGAGGAGCTGAGAGTTCTACATCTTCATCTTGACGCTGCTAGCAGATACTGTCTTCCATGCAGCTAGAGTGAGGGTCTTAAAGCCCACACCCACAGTGACACACGTACTTCAACAAGGCCACACCTACTCCAACAAGGCCAGACCTAATAGTGCCACTCCCTGGGCCAAGCATATACAAACCATCACAGTGATAGTCTGAAGAAACATTGAGAAGAGTCTATGCAGAAATAATGGAGATCACTAAAGATACTTTATTTTGTTTTTTGGATTTCCACTATGAAGCCCTGGCAGGTCTGGAACACATAAAGAACTACCTGCCTCTGGCTCTTGAACACTGAAGTTAAAGCATGTGTACTGTGTCTGGCCAAATTTAAGAGTTTTGATTCTAGTCCTGAGAAACTTCATTCTCTCTGAGCCATTTAAGCTTGTTTTCCTTGCTTCTGCCCATACTGAGTGGAGTGTGTATGTGGGTTGGGGATGGGGGTTGCGTACCTCTAATCACAACACTCAGGAGGCTGAGCCCCTGGGTGCCACACAAGAAAGACCTCATCTCACAAAAGTAAACAGAGTTAAGGAAAATGTATGGTAATTGTATCTTAACCTTTTCTAGTGTAATGCATTTTTCCAGATTACTATTCTTACACCGAGCTTAAACATTCCTGAACGCTAAGAGCTATTTCTTTTCTACTGTTTGTATTTTCAATGATTCTTCTCTGAAAACTTTTGTCCCTCCTCTTTATTTCCAGTTCTTGAGAGCTTTGCACTAAACTAGAGGAAAATACCACAGCATGCTCCCCACGACACACTCAGGCTTCCCAAGATAGGGGGCAGTGAAAAGTGAACACCAGTCCTTCCCAGGAGGAGCCACAGTTGTCTGTCTCTCATCTGTTACTTGTTCTCCTCCTTCCACTCTTCCTACCCTCCCCCCACTTCCTTTCTCTGTTTCCCTTCAAAAAAAATAAAGAGCAGGCCTCCCAGAGACATCCACCAAACATGGCCTAACAAGTTACAGCAAGACTAAGCACAAACCTTCATAGCAAGGCTGGAGGGCAGAAGCCACAATCCTAGTAGGATTCCACATAGCCAAGGTACCCTTGGGTCACACAAATAGCCGTCGCCCTCTAGTGGTCCAAACAAAAAGAAGACTTTTTTATTTTTATTTTTTTTTTTAATGCCTCTGGTAGTACATGGAAATTAAAAAAAAAAACAAAGTTACTTTAATACAGCTTGTTAATAGAAACCTTTATTTTGTTTTTTTGGAGTTTAAATACAAGGTGACATATTGACTATAGACAAAATATTATTAGAATATTATTCAACATATAAACAAAATCTTCCTTGCGAATTGTTTTGAAGTAGTTTTAAAGATTTGATTTCCATCTTTGAAGGAATTGTCTTTGAAAGGAAAATTGATGATACTACTTTGGTTATTATGTAAAGAAATATTGATATTGTTAAGATCTCTGAAGTATTTATAACTTGGGTTTCTCTAGGTTATTTGTTATCAAAGCGTGAAGGCCAAGCAGGCTCTCCTGAGAAACCGTTATCAGATCTAGGTCGTCTTTCCTACATGGCTTATTGGAAAAGTGTAATCTTGGAGTGCCTTTATCACCAAAATGACAAACAAATCAGCATTAAGAAGCTGAGCAAGCTGACGGGGGTCTGCCCACAGGACATCACTTCCACACTCCACCACCTACGAATGCTGGACTTCCGCAGCGACCAGTGAGTGTCACACCCGCTGAGATCATGCTGACAAGGTGGCTGAGGGGTTAAAGGGAAGGTGATGCAAATGTAAGTTAGGTATCAGTCTCCGGATACCTGCCGCAAGTCCTCAGACAGGATCTATGTGGCCAGATCATCACTTCTTTCTGTGACGAACACACACAGGCTTTTTCTACTCTAGGACATTTGCATCTAAGCCACCAAACTGTTGATCTTCTAGTTTCTCTATGTATCTTCCAGGAAGCTTCCTCCCTTCTAATGTGAAGTAACAGCTCTAAAAATCATTGTCTTTAAGTAAAATATGTTCATTTTACTTAGCTAACCTCCTAAATATGACACTAAGTAAAATACTTGTTAAAAGAAAGGAAGGACAGAATTTATTTTTGCTTAAAATGGTTAGGAAAGGTTACAATGAAAAACCATTTGAGGTGAACAAATGAAGACTAGGAAAGGGGCTCCAGTGAACAGGGAAGAGCACCTTGGTGAGGTGTGAGAGGCTGGATGAGCAGCCTCTGTCCCAGTGGATGGAGCGTGCCCCTCGCCCGTGTGTTCACAGAGCTGCCGTCCTTTCTAAGCAGCCGCTTTTGAAGCTCTCATCTCTAGGGCCTTTGAGTTGGGTCTCCCTGTGCATTACCATGTCTTGTGCATTGTTGATTGCTATAAACTTGTTTCTGGTTGTAGATTTGTGATTATCCGCCGGGAGAAACTTATCCAGGATCACATGGCAAAGCTGCAGCTGAACCTTCGGCCTGTCGATGTAGATCCAGAGTGCTTACGCTGGACTCCAGTCATAGTCTCCAACTCTGTGGTCTCAGAGGATGAAGACGAGGAGGCTGATGAGGGAGACAAAGAGGAGCCCCAAGGCCAAGAAAGAGAGTTAGAGACCAGGGTAAGAGTATGAAGGCTGTTATGGCTGTTATGAATATGATGTCTTGCCAACGGAATATCCTTACTCGATGACCAGGGAGATACATGCTTAGTTGTTCAAAATATTTAAAGTTGAAGACCTTGTTTGATCCCTGGAACTCGTTTTGAGAAACTGGGCATAGTGTCCCACACTTGTAATTCCAGTGCTGGAGAGGGGAGATGGGAGGAAACCCTCAAAGTGACTGGCCAGCCTTGGTGAGTCTCAAGAGACCCCACCTCACAAAGTAAGGTAGAGGGACTGGAGCAGTGTCTCTGTGATTGGAGCACGTGCTGCTTTTGCAGAGGACCCAGGTTCAAGTCCCGTGATATTCATGGCAGCTCACGGCTGTCTATAACGTCAGTCGAAGAGCTCCAGCTCCCTGTTCTGGCCTCTTGAGACATTGTGAGCGAGTGGGACGCACACATAACATGCAGATACATAAAAAGGAAGGTGACATTCCTTAGGAAGGATAGTTACCCATGGTTGTCTTCTTGTCTCCATTTACACATGCACACATGTATGTGTGTGTGAACTTGTACAGAGAGTCACACATAAACAAACATGTACACACACATATTCACACTCGAATTTCAGTGTTTTATTTTAATGATAGAAATTTCAGGAATATTGCTCTGTTATTTACATTTGGGTTTTTGTTTGTTTGTTTTTGTTTTGTTTTCTTTTTTTTCTTTTTGAGACAAGGTTTCTCTGTGTAGCCTTGGCTGTCCTGGAACTCACTCTGTAGACCAGGCTGTCCTCGAATTCAGAAATCCGCCTGCCTCTGCCTCTCAAGTGCTGGGATTAAAGGCGTGCGCCACCACTGCCCGGCATTCCTAAATTTCTTGAATGTCTACTTTTTCTGGTGCATGTTCCTATAGCCCAGCAGTTCTCAACCAGTGGTCACTACTGCTTCACAGGGGCCTTCTTAGACCTTTGGAAAACACAGATATTTACATTATGATTTGTAACAGCACAATTACAGTTATGAAGTAGCTATGAAATAATTTTATGGTTATGGGTCACCACAGCAGTTGAACTGTGACAAATGTGCCGAACCCAGGCAATGTATTAAAGGGTTGCCGCATTAGGAAGGCTAAGAACCACTGTTACAGCCTAGTCTTCCTTGTTTTTCAATTTTTATTTCTATAAAATGTTTAAGTCTCATCTACCATCCATAAGACCACAAACACTTCCTTTGATATCAAAGACAACATTGCATAGTGGTTATGAGCACAGGATAGAATCAGAGTTCTGAATTTGGGCCTCCGGTTACCTCATTTACAGAATAGCATCGTAATGCTTCATTGTATTGTTAGGAAAATTAAACTAACAATACATATAAATATATTTTTAAGTGGCCAAAAAGGAGAAAGTATTCATAATAACTATTAAATACTTAATTATTTTCTTTCTAAAGTTCTGTTTTCTTATCTCAGCCAAACAGACTGAAAAATCAGTGTTGTTTTTGTTTGTTTTGTTTTCCTTAATTAGGTGGGAAAGTCTATGTCTCGGGAGAACAAAGATCAGGATTCTTCCTCTTTAATAGAAAGTGAAAAGAAACCAGAAGTTAAGGAACTAGCTGGTTCTTCACGTTTGAGCAAACAGGCCCTTCCTCGGGACAGTCTTCCTGCAAATAGCCAGCCGCCTCGGAGGGGTCGCTGCGGGAGGAGGAACAGAAAGACACAGGAGCGCTTTGCTGATAAAGAGTCTAAGATGCTTGTGGATGAAACATTATCCACTTCTCAGGAGCAATATGGAGACTGCGAGGGAAAATCAGAAACCTCCCAAGAACGGTACACTGAGATGGAAGAACAGTTGGCAGCCCCTCAAGTGCAAGCAGACGGGAAACCAGACATCCCCAAGGGGAGGTTCAGTGAGAGCATTGAGTTGTGGCGAGGACAGCTGAAGAAAAGCCCTGAGACCCTGAAGTGCCGGTTGCCAGAAGGAAATGACCGGCTTCCGTGCTGCTACACCGATGGTGACAGGGCTGTCTTCAGGGGTTTCAGCGAGAGTAGTGAGGAGGAAGACGAGCCAGAAAGTCCTCGATCCAACTCGCCGCCAGTTCTCACAAAGCCCACTCTGAAAAGAAAGGTGATGTACCTTTGTGTCCTGTCGTCCATAGCTGAGACTTGTTATGTGGGTTTGCCTGTCCTGCAGTTCTGCAGTAGAACACACTGCGGCTTGTGTGCTGTCTTATAAACCTGAACCTGCAGACACATGAAAGCAAATAGTTAAAGTCCTGGAAAGGGAAGCTCCTGGTAGGGTGGCACTGACTACCCTTCGCTAGACATGTCCCAAGCTGTGGTCTCCATTGCCCAGGCCTGTCAGAATGCAGGTGGCCACACTCCAGCCCTGAGAGGCAGCCTTCTCACCCAGAGCCAGGTCTTTCCTTTCTGTAGCAGGGCTGTTAAAAAGTGCATGGCCATTTAAAGGAAGACCTTTAAGAATGTTTTTTAGATTTACACCATTATTGCAAAGATAAAACACAAAGTTTCCATAAGCTCCAAACTCAGTGCCTATGGTAGGTACATTTGTCACAGCTCAACATAGATATGACTTAGTGGAGACCGTGCTTCCTTCAGATTTCTAGTTGCCTCCATGGTCTTTCTCTGCTTAGGATCCATTCAGCTTTCCATGTTACAGTTAGTTGTTCTCTTCTGGGTTGGGAATTCCCAGACTCTGATTGTCTTTGGTATGACTTGGAAGGTGGTGAGGTCAAGCATTTTATGTTATCCCTCATTCAGTAGAATGAAGTAATGTGTTTGAGAGTAAGGCAGAGGAGGCGGAGAAGCTCCAGTGCCAGCATCTGGTGGGTCTTGTAGTACACGGTGTGTGTGCGTCAGTTAAAAGACTCCACTCGTTGGAGGCAGTGGCCCTCTTGGATTTCTCTGCTGCGCTTAGGTTTCCCCTTTTCTTATTGTAGCAGAGCATCTGCATAGATGAGATGTGTTCCCTCTGCTGTCTCCATCAATAAGGACCTGATACTTGAGGTTGTAACACTGTTTTAAACTTGTGGCTTAGCTCCTCCCACCCAGTGTCGCTCCTGTTTGTATTACAGTATCATTGTCATGGAGAGTTTCTTTTGTTTTATGTGCTTTCTGGGACTACAAGGTCCTACAAATTTATCTTGGATATTTCTTGCCTCCTCTGCAGAATCAGCCCTTCTCTAAGGAGCAGAGCTATTTTTAATCTGAAAATTCTCAGTAGATTTTGAAGTAGAGAAAAACTAAACTGATTACCTCTCCTGTTGATTGCATGATCATAAAGAATTTATCTTTGCCATCCTAAGGTTTATTTTTTCCAATTTATGTGGTAAAACAAATATGCTATTTTCTTGTGTAAAAAACACAAGTATTAGGTGTTAGAGAGATGGCTCAGTGTTTAAGGGCACTCACTGCTCTTCCGAAGGTCCTGAGTTCAATTCTCAGCAACCACATGGCAGCTCACAACTGTCTGATTCAATTTTCTGATGTACAGATATGTGTGCAGACAAAGTACCCATATACACAAAATACATACATAAATAAAAATTTTAAAGTAATTGTAAATAAATAAGTAAATTTGTAAAAAAAAAAACACAAAAAAATACTGTAACAGCCAGTGAATTTATATGCATAGTACTCAGGCATTCTTGAAATGTACTTAAAGGAGCCGCAGGATTGTTTTACAGCAGTGCTTAAACGTATGACCTTGCATAAGTCCTAACCTTTCTAGCCTCTGTACAAGGATGTGATTCAGTCGTTCCTGGGCTATTGTCTCTATAACTTGGTGACATCACTGTGTTATGTAAGCTATTAGGTCAGCCTCGTGTAAGCGTGTGCTGAGTGCGCCAAGTTTCAGACAGTGCTGCTGCTTCTCTTTGATGTCAAGTGAAGACATTTCTGCTTCGCTGTGTCTCTGTGCTCTGCTAGAACCAGTTTCCCCAGATGGCATGGAGAGTTACTGATGTCCTAATGCATGGTGATGTAGGAGATGTGATGTTTCTATTCTGTTTGCTCTTGAGTAGAAGTAGAGGGCGTAGTCTCTGAGGTGCTGCAGCATGGAAGCAGGTGGCTCTTTAAAGTGTAAAATGTAGCCGAGCTGAGAAGACGCACTAACAGTATCTACTCTTTGGACACTGGCTTTTCATATCAGAAAACTGGCCTTAGTGCCAAGAATCTGTGGGGTTTTTGTTGCCCCTTCCCCTTCCCCTTCCCCTTCCCCCTGCCCCGCCCCGCCCCTTTTCCTTTTGCTTTTCTTTGCGCGTGCGTGCGTGCGTGCGTGCGTGCGTGCGTGCGTGCGTGCGTGTGTATGAATGAGTACCAGTGCATGTGTTGGTGGGCTTGTGCTTGGCAGTTGTGCAGAGGTCAGAGGACAGTCCTAAGGATTTACTTCCCCTACTTCTAACAGAATTCAAGGTTGAACCCAGGTTGTCAGGTTGCCCAGTTTGCACAGCAAACTTTACCTATGGAACCATCTTACTGAGCCACATCTTTGTGTTCTTAGTACTTGATGTCTTTACCAAAATATCTTCTGGCAAACTGCATCTTCATTTTAAATATGCTAATTCTGCAAAGTTTTAAAACTTATGGTGTAGCAGGGGAAAAAATTCATTACTGCAAATAAAATACTCGCTTTCTTTACTAAATAGAAACCAATTCTTCACCGAAGAAGAAGAGTCCGGAAGCGGAAACACCACAATAGCAGTGTGGTCACAGAAACTATCTCTGAGACCACTGAGGTGCTGGACGAGCCTTTTGAAGACTCTGACTCGGAGAGGCCGATGCCGAGACTGGAGCCTACATTTGAGATTGATGAAGAGGAGGAGGAAGAAGAGGAGGAGGAGGAGAATGAGCTCTTCCCCAGAGGGTACTTCCATTGCTTGTCCTCACAGGACATCCTTAGGTGTCAGTCCTCCTCTAAGAGGGCGTCAAAAGATGAGGAGGAGGAAGAAGAGGAGGAGGAGGAGGAGGAGGAGGAGGAGGAGGAAGAGGAGTCAGACGATGCAGATGGTATGTTTACAGAATTGTTTCTTATAGTAGTTTCTGTGTGTCTTGGAAAATACAGAAATAATAGCTGCAAATCCCTCCACAAAGAGTTGGTAGTGAGCACGACTCACTAAGACTGGAAGGGGAAGGGCTGGCAACCTCTGCGAAGTGCATGGAGTATATCCAGATTCATTTAAAGAACCTGCTCTGTTTTGTAGGGAATCTTAATTACTGGAAGTCCTTCTTTTTACCTAGTATTGTCTAGATTTGTATCCTAATCCTCAGTTACAGGGTGTTGGATAACTGATCACTAGAGTGTGTGGTCTCTGGTGTCCGTCTGTTTTGCTCATTGCAGCACACTGAGTGCTTAAGTTTGGTGCTCAGCCAACTCTCTTCACTGAGTCAATGAGAAGGAGTCGTCTGAACACCTGTGGGAACTTCTGTCCTCTGTCCAGAACCTTCCTGCATCATGCCTCTGACAGATCTTACTCAGCAGTAGTCTGTTCCTTCTCATTGTTTGTGTTTATCTTGTTTTGTATTTAAGATTCACTGGACAGAGGTCTGGCCTGCCTCAGTCTACTTGCTTCTGGGACTGTAGGTGTGCACAGCCCAGTAAAGTTGGACATTTCCATTATAAACTAAGTATATGCTATAGCTAACATTCCAGTCATCTACTTTTAAAATAGGCTTAGTTTTACTTCCCATCAGAGGTACAGAACCAGGCTCATTTGAGATGAAACAGGAAGAAGGTAGGCTTGGTGAGGCGCTCCGCTCGGTGGCTGTGTGGCCTACACCTCCGTCATGGTTGCTGTGAGTGCCTCCGTCAGTCTTTGCATTTTCACAAGTGACTTTGCAGAAATCTTGTTGCTCTATGTTGCTTTGTACTATTTTATTTTACTTTATCTTTTGCCTTATTTAGTAGAGCTTCTTATTTTATTCTCTTAAAATCTTGACTTCAATCCTAGTAGACAGGACTTCGATTTTTCTGACAGGGTATGTAGCTTGATGGTGATGGTTCTGAGTTCAGTCCCTAGAATCAAAACAAAATCTTTGTGGTGTGTGTGTATGTATAGATGAGTATATGTGTGAATTTATGTGCCTGTGTATGTATATTTGTGTGTGAGAGAATGTGTACGTGTGTGTGTATGTACATGAGTGTATATGTGGCAGGGGAAGACAGAAGAATTGTGAGTGTGTGTGTGTGTGTGACACAGCCGAGCTGGGAAGCACAGGCTGGCCTCAAGTTTGTGACTCACTTGCCATAGCCTCTTAGGTGTTGAAATTCACACCATACCTTGCACAGTTTTCTTACTGTAAGGCTTAATATATATATGTGTGTGTGTGTGTGTGTGTGTGTGTATAACGTGGTTTTAGTGTACTGATTATTAAAGTCTTTGCTTTATTGTAATAGGTGACGATCCTGAGTTTTACTCTTATTAGATACTGCTGCATATCAGGAAACAGACTGTTTTGGTGTGGTTGGCACTTGGCACTCTTCAATCTCTGTGTCACAGTGGTATCCCTCCCGTAAGCTCCTATGGCCTTGACAGTTTTTCCTCAGACTTCTCTTGCCTTTGCTGACTTCCCATGTGTACCACAGACCTTTAATTCTCCCTTCCTTAACGTTCATAGCCTTTTAAAATTAATAGTAATTGAGAGTGTGTTTAATGCCAGTGAGCTCTACTTTAAAATGATTAAAAGTTTATCTCCTGTGTCTTGCCACGGTTAGAAAAAGTAGCGCTGCTGTTGAGTTTCTTTCCTCTAAGTATTATTGGCCCATGACCTTTCCTTCCTTCTTTAGGACTACATGGCAGTGCGTGTTTAAGACTAGGTGCTTTGCACTTGTTCCCGTATATCACAGTGACTGACAGTTATTCACAGGGATGGCTCAGTTGTGGTCTACAGGAATTGCCTTGTGATCCCACTTCAAGTAATGATTTTGTGGAAACTAAAACAAACCAAAGAGGTAACAGAAAAGCAGACAGAAGCAGCTGATGATTAAGTTAGAGCGGACACGCCTGCTGCTCGTCACTTGTGTCTTCGTAAGAGTTTGGTCTCAACCACCTTTAAGTAGTACGTGGCAGGATCATGTTAGCCAGGATTATTTATTGTTCTGCCAGTTCGCTGTGTCACTTTACATGTAATTAATTAGTTTTATTCCTTAGATTCTTCTGCTGTTCATGTTGGTCTCAAAGAAATACTAGGTCTTGTAACCTATCTTACTATCTCTTTTGTGTACAGACACTCCTGTCCTAAAGCCAGTATCTCTCTTGCGGAAATGTGATGTGAACAATGCTTCACTTGAGCCAGACACCTCTACACCTATGAAAAAGAAAAAGGGATGGCCCAAAGGCAAGAGCCGGAAACCTATCCACTGGAAGAAAAGGCCTGGGCGGAAACCAGGATTTAAATTGAATCAGGAAATCATAGCTGTTTCTACACAGGAATGCATAGTTGAGCCCATAGTCCCCATTAAACCAGGACGTAAACCCAGAACTCAAGAGAATGAAGAAATTGTTGAGGTAAAGGAGGACTTGTTGGAAGAAAGGAAGGAGGAGATGCATACGGAACCAGATGAGGAGGCCGAAGAAGAAGAGGATACAACCAGCAGTGACATTAGAGCCATGTCCCCACTGGACAGCAGCAACAGCCCTGATGCAGAACCAAAAGAACCCGAGGCAGAAGAGGAAGATGAGAAGCCTTTGGATGATCAGAGGCAGTCAGAGGACGAGCCTCAAGAGCTGGAAGAACAGGAGCAAGAGGAAGAGGATGAAGTGACCACAGAGGCAAACCAGAATGAAGACCATGATGCTGATGACGAGGATGATGGCCACCTGGAGTCACTAAAGACAAAAGAGCCAGAGGAGCAGCCGGCTAGAGAGGATCGAAAGGAGGAGCCTGGCATTCAGGAAGCTTTTTTAGATGCAAACATGCAGGACAGTAGGGAGACTATAAAGGATAAAGATGAAACTGAACCGGACTCTGAAGAGGAGCAGCCTTCCCATGAAGCATCTGTGGGGTCAGAGACCATGCCAGGCTCCGAGGAGGACCATGAAGAAGACTCCAACACTAAGGAAGAGTTAATTGAGCTAAAAGAGGAGGAAGAGATCCCACACACTGAACTGGACCTGGAGACTGTACAGGCAGTGCAATCTTTGACTCAAGAAGAAAGCAGTGAGCATGAAGGAGCCTACCAGGACTGTGAAGAAACTCTTGCAGCTTGCCAGACTCTGCAGAGTTACACCCACACTGATGAGGATGCGCAGATGTCAATGGTTGAAGACTGTCATGCTTCAGAGCATAATAGCCCAATCTCCTCCATCCCGTCTCATCCTAGCCAGTCAGTCCGCTCCGTCAGCAGCCCCAGCATGCCTGCCCTGGAGAGTGGCTACACACAGATCAGCCCAGAGCAAGGATCCCTGTCCGCACCCTCTATGCAGAACATGGAGACCAGCCCCATGATGGATGTGCCTTCCGTATCAGACCACTCTCAGCAGGTAGTGGACAGTGGCTTCAGTGACCTGGGCAGCATCGAGAGTACCACAGAGAACTATGAGAACCCAAGCAGCTATGACTCTACCATGGGCAGCAGCATTTGTGGGAATACTTCCTCTCAGAGCAGCTGCTCCTATGGTGGCTTGTCCTCTTCAAGCAGCCTCACCCAGAACAGTTGTGTTGTTACTCAGCAAATGGCAAACATGGGCAACAGCTGCAGCATGTTACAGCAAAACAGTGTCCAACCAGCTACCAACTGCAATATCAAGTCACCTCAGACTTGTGTGGTGGAAAGGCCTCCCAGTAACCAGCAGCCACCCCCGCCACCGCCCCCGCCACCGCCACCACCACAGCAGCAGCAGCCACAGCAGCAGCAGCAGGCGGCCCCACAGCCTCCCCCACCACAGCCACAGCAGCCGCAGCAGCCCCCTCCACCACAGCAGCAGCCCCAGCCCCCACCACCACCGCAGCCACCGCAGCAGCAGCAGCCTCCTCTGTCTCAGTGTAGTATGAACAACAGCTTCACTGCGGCTCCGATGATCATGGAGATCCCAGAGTCTGGAAGCACTGGGAACATCAGTATCTACGAGAGGATTCCAGGGGAGTTTGGTGCTGGCAGCTACTCTCAACCATCGGCCACCTTCAGTCTAGCCAAGTTGCAGCAGCTGACGAACACCATTATGGACCCTCATGCCATGCCTTACAGTCATTCTCCGGCTGTGACTTCCTATGCAACCAGTGTTTCTCTGTCTAATACGGGACTGGCTCAGCTAGCTCCATCTCATCCCTTAGCCGGGACCCCTCAAGCACAAGCCACCATGACTCCACCCCCAAATTTGGCATCTACTACTATGAACCTCACGTCACCTCTGCTACAGTGCAACATGTCTGCCACCAACATTGGAATTCCTCACACTCAGAGGTTGCAAGGGCAGATGCCAGTCAAGGGGCACATTTCTATCCGTTCCAAGTCCGCACCTTTACCCTCTGCAACTGCACACCAACAGCAGCTGTATGGCCGCAGCCCACCAGCAGTTGCCATGCAGGCTGGCCCTCGTGCATTGGCTGTTCAGCGTGGCATGAACATGGGGGTTAATTTAATGCCCACTCCAGCCTATAATGTCAATTCCATGAATATGAACACCTTGAATGCCATGAACAGCTATCGAATGACACAGCCCATGATGAATAGCAGTTACCATAGTAACCCTGCCTACATGAACCAGACAGCACAGTATCCTATGCAGATGCAGATGGGAATGATGGGGAGCCAGGCCTATACCCAGCAGCCTATGCAGCCAAACCCTCATGGAAACATGATGTACACTGGCCCCTCCCATCACAGCTACATGAATGCTGCTGGTGTACCCAAGCAGTCACTTAACGGACCTTACATGAGAAGATGAGCGAGGTGAACTTGCAGTTAAAAGCTTAAATATATATAAATAAAGGAACTTTTTATACTGACAAACCAGAGAAAAAAATGGACCTTTTTTCCAGTTAAAATATTACTGTAGAGTTAGAGGAGTTTTTCTTTGGTTTATTATTATTACTGTTTTTGTTTTGTTTTTAGAAAACCTGATCTCTTTTTGGGGGTTCGACTTTGTTTTGGGTGTTTGTTTTCTTCACAATCTTGAACATTTTACAGTAGAACTCATCTAAAGATGGATTTGGGTAGGGGAAACATGCACAAAATCTTTTCATAATTAAAAGGAGCCTTACTTTCTTTATACACCACATGGACAGAATTTATGTAAACGTGAATTTATTTTTGTTTTAAAATGTATGTTTCCCCTCACTGTCTGCAGCTCCCAGTGTTGTCATTGTTAAATGTCATATTTACATCTCAAGGGTCAGCCAGACCCTTTCCTCCAAACCCAGCCTTCATTTCCCACGTCATCCCAGCAGGAGGCACTTAGGGGACCTGGGGTGGGGACGACGTGGAGAACAACCCAGTTCCTTAAACTTAATGTTGTTGGTGTTCTTGTTGTTATTATTATTATTATTAATAAAGTGAAGCAGGTAATGCTTCTCCTTGTAAAATTTCCTCCCCTCCTCCCTACACACACATGCACACACACACACACACACACACACTCTCCCCTTGGAAACCTTTCCCCAAGAGTGTTTTTAGGCAAACTTCATTGAAATTGTTTTTCCTTAATCAAGTGTAATATAATTCTTTTTTTTTTTTTAATATTCCCACTCAGCACTCAGAGACACAAGAATACTGTAAGTCTCACTTAACAGCAGAATCTCAGAGGAAAGCTGTTTGCAATCCTGCTCCAGCCTTTGGAGGACACAGATGGTCAGCCAACAATCAGTAAGGGGAAATGAACCTCTTGGTGTTTTAGCACCTGGTCAATCAGCCATAACATACATGCACACTCCACGCACCTCTCTTTAGTATGTACTTGGAAATGTGGACTAAGGGTCTTGTGCTTGCACCTTTGACTCTGGTAACCCTCAGAGCAAGCCCCTGTGATTTGCCTGTCCTATCTTATCCATTGTTTCCATGAACGACTGTCGTATCAGTGACTTAGAAAACCCCTGGTGCAGAAGGAGTCCCAAGGGAGATGATGGTGTGACTTTTGTAGCTGCAGAAGTGATGCATACCTCTCGTTTTCAGTTTGTCTTGAGATCCTGAATCCACCCCAAGAACCAGTGTGCACTAGCCCCTCTCCTGTGAGGATGAGCAAGGAGAGACCCACCACCAGCATAGTAGGGCACAGCTGGCAGTAGGGCTTCAGGAGGCTCACATGTTGTCTCACTAGTTTGCCCGTTCTCTTCCTACTCGCTCCAGGGATAGGTAAAAAACTATATATATAATTATAATTATATATATATTATATATTCCATCATTAGAAGATGGAAACTATTATACCACTTGGTATGTGCAGTCAAATATCCAAAAGGAGGATGCAATGCTTAAGAAGATACCTGTAAGCATAAATCTCTCCTTTATTTGTACATTTTATATAGATAAATTTTTAAAGTACTAATTAGGCATTACATTTTTTCAAATGCACAGGTTTGTTGGGCTTTTTTATAGACCTTAATTGGCTTTCTCAATTAAGTGTGTTAGATAGAAAAGCAAAATTCCACACTGTACCGCTATCAACTCTGAGCATGTGCAAGGCTGCGTAGGACCCAGTTTCTCTGTATATACTGTTCCGGTTCCCAGTCATCTGTAGAATGTGCACCGTGCTGCCCTCCCCCACATCTTCAGCTATGTCATTGCTTCCTGGATGGGATGGGGCAGGGATGGGAGGGGGGGAAGGGAGGTCTGTTTGGGAGGAGGGTGGGTCAAGGCAGAAGGAGAAGCTGTTGAAATGAGGGCCGTGAATTCACTTTCTGTTGGTTTGCAGTTGTGTTTGGGTTTCTTTGTTTTGTTTTGTTTTTAAATTGAATCAGGCAGCTCCCTTTTCCGCAAGCCTCTTTGTGACTGTAGAACTATTGTAGAAAAAAATACGTTCTTTTCTATATTATAAAAGAAAATTATCCAACACGGTAATATTGGTACCTGTCATTTTTTCACTTCTGTTTTAAAAAAATGTATTTTTAGCAAGATAACTTGGGTAATCTTCTAAAAAAAGAAATTTAAAAACTCACTTGTTAGTGACTTTGATGCCTTTTAAAATAAGAGCTTTTTCATTTCATTCCATCTTTAAAATTTTTTATCTTTGTTGTAGAATATTAAAAACTATTTTAAGAAAGATAAAAATTCTCTTTAAAGAGATCTTTAGAGTGTGTGAATAGAGCTCCAGATGCCTCTAAAAGCCGCATGTACAAAGTAAGTCTATTCCTGTCTGTTTATATTTGCTTTTCCTGTTTTGTAACCTCTTTGTACTTTGTTCCTGGTGACTTGTAAGCTGAGGGGAGGGGTGCCCAGACGCCTTTGTATTTCTCCATGTCGTGCGCTCCTGGCCAGGTGGCCTCCCTCCCTCTCCTTGTATGTAATATCTTTTCCCCCTTTCTAGCAAGTACTTTCAAAAGAACTCTGTACATTTTAACATAAAAAAAAATAAATTATGTTGAGCCATTTTGGATGTCTGTCTTGCCTGTGGAATTTTTCTCCCAAATGTCTGAGACTTTGCAGGATTCTTGTTGCACGCAGAGACCGGGAATTAACCTTTTTCATGGTCATTATAGTGTCCATTTATGTGAGTGATTAAATACCAATACAAACAGGGTGGTGGTTGTCCTTAGGCAGGGTCTTACTCTGTAGGCCTCACTGGCCTAGAACTTGCTGCAGACCAGGATGGCCTTGAACACATCCACCTCCACCTGCCTTGAGAGTTCCGGATCAAAGGGGAGTTGGCTTTTCATTTCCCCCTTTTCTAAAGAAAATAAAGTAACTTGAGTTTTCTGGAGAAATCCATTTGAAAACCTAAAAGGGTTGTGCTGTACTTACACAAAAAGGGAGACACAGTTGTAATAGCAGCTATGTGTAATAGCAGTTTTGTGTAAATTGTTACGACTTTTGTAATTACATAATACTTTCTACTTATGATTTGTTGTTTATCTTAAAAGATTCATTTCAGCCAAATATGTAATTCAGTGGATGTCTAAGTTTATAGTGAGTTTATCTCAAGGACCAGATCCACTCCATTCCAGTACACTTCTGCTACTTTAGAATTCTTCGTAAATTTTCACACAAGTAAAGAGCATACATTAAGGGTATTCCCCTGCCTCCTCCTTACCTCCGTTCCTCACCGCTCCCATCTCGTCTCTCCTGCTTGTTGCCATAAACACTGTCTACTTTTGTGTCATATATGCATGCATGATTTTTGTGTATAGAATCTGGGGAACTACAAAATACACTCAGGACTTAAGCAGTATTTCCTCTTCCCTCCCTCCCTTCCTCTTTCTCTGTGTCACTGGACTTACTTTCTCACTTAGAATTTTGGATATAAAACAGTCCAGAAAAAGAGACTTAACTTTAGGAAGTTGGGCTTTCCCGTAGTAGAGGGGTGGGGTAGGGATGGGTTTGAGTGGCCATCATGATTTACATGGCCTGGCACATCAAGTAAGCAATTAAGGAAGTATACGTGGATCTTGGCAGACGCTTGGTCTGAGTCCCATGCTATGGAAATTACCTAAGGTGTCTCTGGCATCTCGGGGTGATTGGATCTCTTCCTCCTTGCCTTTGCAGTCTGTCACTACACGGCATCATTTTTTGTGGGTGTCGAAATGTGTTGGTTGCCTTTGCTACTCCAAAGTACTGACTTTCAGTTAATTCAACAAAAAGTAATTCTGATTTTCTTGCAAAGGAGACGATGAACCAGAAGGTATAAACATTTCTTGACACCTCAACTGTCTTAGATTTAAACATACTTAAAAATAGGTCTGTTTATAGCCAAGTTACGAGCGGTCTCTTGTATAGAGAGGTGTTCCAGATAGCAGATGTGGAAGAAAGTGCTAATACACTGCATCAGTACTGCTGAGGGTCTTGCCTGCCAACTGTAGAACTGACCGTCACAAGTCCAGTCATTAGAGTACCAGGAATCTTGTTCCTGGGTATCCCAGTAGGTTCCCACTTCCTTTGTAGCACGGTGACAATTGTGTTTCGTGAGGCTGACAGTGTAGCCCATTAAATGAAAGTTATTTTAGATATATATCCCCGAAGTACAGTTTGGTCAAGTCAGTTACTTTTTTCATATTCCTTCTAATATTTTATAATATGGAAGATGTGGCTCACTGCTGACGACTGTTTTGTAGAAACAACAAAAACGACTGCCCTTGGCAGGACCAAACATGTAGGACCTGAATCGGGAAAGCAGTGGGCTTCAGGGAATCCTGAAACAGGCCCATGAACAGGAGCCTGTTTGGAGTTTTCATGTTGGCAACTGAGTAGAATGTATGAGTGAGTACTCTCATCCAATTAAAAGCAGACAGTCCCCCGAGGAAAACCCACCCCATTTGTTAAGGCTTTTCTTTTAAGGGTCAGGCTTATGTAAGATGGTATAGTTACGTAACGTGGCACAGGCCAGTGGATGGTGGTTCGTAGTTTCTTTTTCCAGAGGTACAAATTGGGGCTTAATGGAAATTCCTCACTCCTTATTAAAGGAGTCTAAATAGTGGTGTACATATTACATAAAGCTTCAGAAAGGTGTCAGCTTGATTTTATACCTGAAGTAGGAAAAGCCCAGAGGTAGAATAGGCTTTCATTTGAGATATTTTAAAATACAAGACAGGAGGAGTCACAGTGGATTGTTTCCCTGTGGCCAGTGTGAATATACATTCTGAGTGAATTACATTCTTGGTATTTCAGTGAAAAACACTAACATTTAACTATGCTAAGCAGACATTCCCAATGCTACATTTATACTCTGTTCTCTGGAATGATGTTAATTGCAGCCAGCCATCTTCAGTTTTATGTATATAACTGCCTGCTCTTAGAATGTACACTGCAACCAGCTGTAGTGATTAGTAAACATATCTGGAATTTCTATTAATACACACTGGAAAAATTGACAGCTGCTTAATGATGGAAAACAAAGCATCCACTCCACACCTCTCACATTTAGTTTGGCCGTAAAAAACGAGCTTTTTAAAAAGATGAAGGCATTGCCCCATGCATAAACCAGTCCTAATTGTTCAAGCGATCTGTTAACAGGAGTAAAGCCAAGCAGGGTGCCGCGTGCACCCTTGTAGCTCAGTGCTGGGAAGGAAGAGGCCTGATTCTGACCCCAGGTAAAAAGCTTTCAAAAACAGCATTGATACACATAATCAATAAACCTGGCAATGGCTTTGCTCTATAGATCTATCTGACTAAAGCGGCCAGACTTGCAGTCTCTTTTAAAGTTTACATTGTAAACCGGACCAAGGACCTGAGAGAGATGTGCAATGCATAAGCCTAAGGTATATACGTTAGTAAATCTGTTTGAGGCCAGCTCCTCTTCAAACATAAGCCAGAGCCAGACAGGCACTAAATTAAAGAACTTTTCCTTGTAATGTCTTCAATGTGTGGGGTTAACTTTTCACTGGGAAAACACTCATTTTAAACAGTCTTATTAAGAGGGA